GCTCATCTACCATATCTACCATATAATCATTTACCAATCTTTTTTAATTAATATCTCGACTATTATTGCGAATATCGCAAAATGGTACAGGACTTTTGTATTCATCTCAATCCGCTCCACGTCCTCACGAGAGATTGTGAAGGGACACCCTGTATAGATATGTGTGTGTGTGTATAATGTGGTTTCTTTTCTCAACTTTTTATTAAGGAGATGTCGGAGCGAGCGACGAACTTGATAAGCATCGATAACGTACAGCGATCATCAAAAAGTAGAAAACGTTATCATCATTTACCGACGATATCGAATTTATGTACACATAGATACTTATGAAATAAAGACGATCGTCAAATAGGCGCTAACATAATACCGCGACCATCTTTTCACAAATGTTATATCATTTTCATTTTGCACTGACCAATGTTACACTTTATTTTCGCACGTAATTTTATCATATAAATTGGGGCAGTCAGTACGCTGTAATTTTTGAAAAATGAAATCAGTGTCACGATAGCAATAGTTCCACATCGTTTTCATCCTTGAGGCAGGAATGCCCTATTTATGCATGTACTTTTGCTATACAAAAACATTTTTGGTCAAGTCAACACAAAGTAAAATTTGTTGGGAAATGTCGTTGACATGATACTGAATACTTTTGCAAAATTATTGTCTCGTGTTGATTCGACAAAATTAAAAATCCTTTTCCATGATGAAAATACGTGCGTAAGTGAAGCGGAGCATCCATCAATATAAGTCGAAAACGATAAAGAATAGTTACTATCACAACATGGTATTTCTGCAAAGTTTACTTCTTTCTATCTGCGTCGAATTAAAAACCTTTTTGCATGATAAAATTACGTGCGAAAATGAAGCAGCGCATCCATCAATATGAGACGAAAACGATAAGGAACGGTTATACGACATCGAATTTTTCTGCAAAGATTACTTCTTTCTACCTGCGTCAAATTAAAAATTCTTTTGCATAGTGAAAGTACGTGCGAAAATGAAGCGGAGCATCCCATGTGATCCGGGAGGCGATGCAGAATGAAATAGTCAAATTTCATGTTATTTTCGAAAATACATCTTTGCGAAAGCAAAAATTACTTTAAAAAACTGTGAGATATTATCTCAGAATATGTTCTAGATGCTATATGACTTAAATAACCTGCAGTAATATGACCGACTTTCAGCCAATGCGCGAGAATCCGACATTCCTACGACGCAACGTTATGAACGCGACTTGGGTTATTGGAAAATTATTTTGGGCGTATTACTGAGGGAGTAGAGTGACATTAACGCACATTATCATCCAAGAGACGATGCTGAGCGAAATACGCACACTTCACGTCATTTTCGAAAATGACCTTTTCAAACGGGGAAATTTTTTTAGAAAACTTAAAAAAATTATCCTAGGCTTAACTAACTCGGCTTAGTAAATTAGCGAAGACTCAAAACACTTCGGTTCAAATCTCGATTTAATAATTTTGCTGAAACACAAAACACATCGGTTGGAATCTCGACTTAATAATTTAGCGGAGCCTCAAAACACATAAGTTCGAATCTCGGCTTAATGGTTTAGCGGAATCTCAAAACACTCAGGTCCGAATCTCGGTTTAATAATTTAGCGGGAAAACGAAACATTTCAGTTTGAGTCTCGACTTAATAATTTAATTTGTTATTTTTAATTTGTCAAAATTTAATTTGCCGTCTTGTCAACAACAAATTCGTATGCATAAGAAAATATCTCCGAAGAGATAGTATATCGTAAATAATACGATATAACAAGTTATAAAGTATATTAATCAAATACTGTATATATAGTAATTTGTCGTCTTGTCGACAACAAACGCGTATGCATAAGAAAATATCTCCGAAGAGATAGTATGTCGTATATAATACGACGTAAGTTATAAAGTATGTTAATCAAATAGTATATATAGAGCATATATAGCATATATAAAACATATATAGAGCATAAAAGAAGCATATATAATATATACAAAGCAAATAAATATGACATGTTGAAATATATCAGTTTAATGTATCATCAAGAAATAATCCGACGAGAAAGAAGCCTGCCGAGTCGAAATTTCAATTGACCATTGTTATGCAAGAATGATCAAATTCAAAAAAATTAATAAACTTTTATGAATACTCCATTCACATCTTTTAATCCAAACAAAAAAATTCAAGCCTTATAGATGCTTGAAATGAAGTAAGAAACAGTTTTTTTATTTTTTACAGTCGCGTATTTTTGCACATTTTTCTAAAGATTGAGCTAGTCAGTACACTTAAAGATATGGAAATGCTTGACTCGTTGAACTATTGCGAAAATCTCAGAGCTAAATTCTTTGGTTGGATCATTCTTACGTAACTCCGGCGAATTGCAAATTCCAATTCTTACTTTACTTTCCGTCAGACCCAATGCGATTTACGTCTACGTGCATGCAATCTACGTAAAATGACGCTTTATATCTACTATATGAGCGTCTAAATTGAACGCTCACCATTGTGCGTCGTCCCACGATGTCTAGGGTCCATCAGCCATCCTGTCGCTTCATCTGATACTGTAACGGTCCTCGCGTCCCACGTCGCCTGTAATTCATTCCTGACCACGATAATCTAACGAAAATTTCACGAAAAATCCTATCTTTCTTGAGGGATACACTCCGAGTTGCGAATTGCGTATGAAGTATCGCAAACTGCGTCTTCGAGGAAATGTCGCCCTTTCGGATAAACGACGAGTATATGCAACGAATTCAGGAACGGTCCGATCGAGTTGTAGTGTATCGCTTTGATACACGCGCCACGCGAATCGCTATGAAGAAAACGGAATTCGTGAGCGAAGGGAACACGTAACGCGAATCGAAGGCTGATCTCGCGAAATTTTTCGACGCGTGGATGAAGTAATCTGTGCGAGATTCTTACGTACGACACCGAATTACCTGATGTAACGTTTCGATAGTGCAGCGTAGTAGGCTGCAATACAGCTCCGCAATATTTTTGCGGATAACAGCTCCGCAATACTTTTGCGAAGACAATTCCGTAATGCTTTTGCGGATAACAACTCCGCAATATTTTTGCGAAGTTTGCTCGCAACTCTTCCGCAAATAAGATCCAGTGAAATTCGCAAACCTATCAAATTAATAATCGCGAACGCAAACGTGAATGAAAAATCAAAAACTATGAAAATTATGACGATAGAGATAAAGATTCTGTTCAAAATTCGAAATGTAGCTTTACTCCAAATGCAAGGAAATCAAAAGTATTGAAATATATTCAAAATTCACGCGAAAAAAGTGTTACCGCGTCAGACGTCTGTCTCTGTTCAATGGAACTTGCTGCACGCCGCGTAAGTAAACAAACAACTGCTCGTATGTCTGACTTGTGTACATCGCGTTTTTCGCGAGGGATCAACGCTTGCTAGCATTGTCTCTATTGTATCCCGCGTTAGGAAACTTTAACTCTAAATGAAAAATTCAAACTTGAAGATTTTCTGACAATCGTGAAATTAATTTTGCAAACAGTTTATATAATTATGTTAAATCGCTTCGCGCAGGTGCCGCACAATATCAAATTTTATTTAATTACGAAGTACGAACTCTACTTTATGAAATGCAATCACAATTCAAGCTCACGCGAGAGAGAAAATTGAGAAAATTAACGATTAGCGGAAGATCTATGATGTGATTGCGATTGCATATTTTCTGTGGCGCAATCCCTTTGTACGTTGGCGCAATCTCTTTGCGCGTTGATGCACTGCTCGAGACATCTGGAAGATCGCATTCAATAAAACTGAATAATTTTACAAAATTTTCAGATAAGACAAATATTCAGAGCGTATACTCAATACTATAAGCATCTACCAGATAGTGTTGTATTTGATTAATCAAAATTTCCTCCGAAAAAAATCGTCGACTAATCAATAACCTAAGTTAATCAATTAATAAATATATATACATTGAGAGAAAAATACTTTAAAATTGATATGCCAAATTTATGTAAAATATGCATTATCACTAATATTATTCTTTGAAAAAGCGATCTTCCAATTGTTTCGAGCAGTGTGATTTTTATTGGACGGCACGTACACATACTACAACTACAGCAAAGTAAATCACATTGATTCGATAAGCATGCACTACATCGAAAGACTTTTTGTCTTTCTATTATTATGTTTCTTGTTTTGACTCACCAAACCGCCGATCAGGGTAGCCACATTCTACTTTCGTTTCTAGAACAAAAAAATACCATTTCGCCGATTAGATTCGTGCATTGATGACGATTTGAGTGAAGAAGTTTGAAGGATTAAAAAAAAATAAACGCGATATTTTTCACGCTGAAAGAATTTTTCAGAATGCATTTACACTTGGAATATTCCGTTTCTCTTTTTCTCGACGGTTCAAATAAATCTCTTAGTCAGAACAAATAAAAATTTTTCAAGTGGAGATGTTATTCAGAAAAAATTCTCCCCACGTGTAATTACGCGATGTTTGATTCGATTTAAATTATCTCGATTTCGAGCAAGAGAATTATCAATCTTGTCGGATTTCTAATTACAAATGTTAATTAATGAGACTTACCTTCGAGCTAACCCCGCTCGGCCCGAGCCGGATCCTCCGGCGCAGCAGCCCCTAAGAGTCGGCTGGTCATCTGCTTCATCTCTGCAACAGAAACCAGATTTAATTTAGTATTACGATAATGGAGGCATTAAGGAACTCGATTTCAAACAAAAGAATTTCCAGTTTTATCGATTTTATCGGAATTATGAATTCAAATTAGTGAAACTCACCTTCGCGCCAACTCTGCTAGGCCCGAGCCGGATCCTCCGGCGCAGCATCTCCTTAGAGTCAAGTGCTCGTCTCTGCAACAAAAAATAGATTTAATTGATTATTAATTAGTTACACGACGATGGAAGCATTAAAGAACTCGATTCCAAACAAGAAAATTTTCAATTTTGTCGGATTTCTAATTATAAGTACAAATTAGTGAAGTTCACCTTCGAGCCGACTCAGACAGGCCCGAGCCAAATCCTCTGGCGTCGCATTCCATAGAGCCGCGTGACTGCGTCTGCTCTATTGGATCTCTATGACAGAAATTTAATTTAATTTAGTAATTTAATAATTTAGTATCAATTAGTTACACGCGACGAAAAGCAAAACGACGAAAAGAAATTGTCATAACGGCACGCTCGAGTTCCTTCTCAATGCGCGATAAAATTACGCAGTGCGCAATAATTAAATCATAGCGGAATAAAGAAGTAATAATAAAGAAGTAATAATAAATTAATTAATGGATGATGATATTAATATCTGATCGACAACCGTATAATAATATCCAGTAGTATCAATTAATTACACACGACAGCAAGACGAGATAAGGAAATCGTCGTAACAACACGCTCGAGTTACTTCCCAATAGACAATAAAAATAATTAAATGACAACCGAATAAAGAAGTAATAATAAATTAATTAATGGATGATGATATTAATATCTGATCGACAACCGTATAATAATATCCAGTAGTATCAATTAATTACACACGACAGCAAGACGAGATAAGGAAATCGTCGTAACAACACGCTCGAGTTACTTCCCAATAGACAATAAAAATAATTAAATGACAACCGAATAAAGAAGTAATAATACTCGAATAATAATTGAATGATGATAATATTTGATTGACATTGAGGAATTCGATCGCGACGTTTCTCTGTCTAACAAGTAAAAAAGTAAATAAAACGCGGTAATTACCTGTCGCGGTAAAGCCCGCAACATCTGCTTGCGTGATAAGTACGCGTCTCAATTCCTATAAATTATTGCCTTAATTGTGGCGAAGTCAAAATGCGGTTCTAAAAATCGGCGCGAAATAACTTAGAAAATAACGTGGCAACTCCCGCGATGCTCTTGCTTCGGCGACTGATAGCGCTATGTATGGCGTAATGCTTGAGCACGTGCTCGCGCACGCGTATTTACATGACCGACCGCGCGTCCCCCCTCCCCTCTCCCCAACACCGCACAGTCAGCGGCCCGAGCGCGCCGTTACGACGGTCGGTTTACCTAGTTATTGTGGAGCTTAGAGTTTTTGTTAGAGCCGTTGCCCAGGTATTGTTATTACCGATTATTCGATCATCATTATTTCGTTATTATATACTCGAAGATATTATCACATGATTGTCGAACATATATTATTATCATTACCATTTGATTCGAGTATTGTTACTTCTTTATTCGATCATTATTTAATTTATTCGGTTATTATTTAATTATTGCTATTACGCATAGAAAAGCAACTCGGGCAGACCGTTACGACAATTTATTTACCTCGTCTTTAATCAGTTATTACTGCCGTTGCCCAATTATTGTTATTCATTGTTATTACCGATTATTCTATCATCGTTATTAAGTTACTATCCGCTCGCGGCTATTATTACACGATTGCCGAGCAGATTATAATTATTAGTATTATAATTATTATAAAAAAGTAATAATATTCAAATAATAAATTGTAGTGGTAATAATACCTGGTCAACAATTGTGTAATAACCGCGAGCGGGTAATAACTGAATAACGATGATCGAGTAATCGGTAATAACACTGAATAACAATAACTGGGCAACGGCAGTAATAACTGATTAAAGACGAGGTAAAGAAATTGTCGTAATGGCACGCCCGAGTTGCTTTCCTATACGTAATAGCAATAATTAAATAATAACCGAATAAATTAAATAATAATCGAATAAAGAAGTAATAATATTCGAATATTAAATGGATGATGATAATATTTGATCGGCATTGAGGAACTCGATCGCGACGTTTTTCTATCTAACAAGTAAAAAAAGTAAATGAAACGCGATAATTATTTGTCGCGGTAAAGTCCACAATACTTGCTCGCGTGAGGAGTACGCGTCTTAATTATCGCGTCAATTTTCGCGAAGTCAAAACGCGGTATTAAAAATCGGTACGGAATAATGTATAGAAAATAACGCGTTAGCTCCCGATGTGCCCGTCTCGACTGTTGAGAGTATCATGGCGTGACGTGCTCGCGCACGTGTGTTTACATGATCCGACCACGCGCCTCCTCCAAGCACCGCTCAGTTAGCGACACGGGGCGGCTGTTACTACAGTCCGTTTATCTAGCCTTTATGGAGCCTAGAGTTTTTGTTAGAGCCGTTACCTAGGTATTGTTATTACCGATTATTTAATCATTATTTCTTTATTATCCACTCACGAATATTACCACACGATTGTCGAGCAGATATTATTATCACTATCATTTAATATTCGAGTATTATTACTTTTTTATTCGGTTATTATTTAATTTATTCGATTATTATTTAATTACTGCTATTACGCATAAGAACTTTTCTGCAAACTTTTCGTATTTTTTTTTTAGCATCGAAACTAAATTCTAAAAGTGTAGTAGTGATCTTTGACATTTTTCTGATTGGAGCATCCATAGTTTCAGTATGTATAATCTGCAGAATGTTTGTATTAAACAAATATTGCACTAACTGATAGCTCAAAATTTAAAAAATATTTTTTTTGTTTTCGTCACATATTGAGCAATGCTCCAATTTATTTTTGCATGCTCTTTTGTTGTGTAAACGCGTTTGTAATTCTGTGCAAGCAACAAGACGTAAAATTTGCAGAAAAAACTCAATGTTATGTCGGTAAAGTTTTCATGTCCAGCATCCTCTTAAACATTTACTTCAAAGTATTCATACAGTTTCATGGGAGATAAAAGTCAGAACAATGGTAAAAAGAGATTTATTCCTTTTAATTTCGTAGCATTCCGCGGAAGACGGGTGATGGATGATTCGAGGCATCATCGTTGTCAGTGATGTTGGCATGTTTTGGCTCGTGTAATCAATAATCATTAGAATCACAATGCCGCTATTATGATCTCTGGACAGGTTAGTTAGACGAAATTTAAATATCATTTGCTCGCGAGCCACGAAATTGCGGAATTCTCTAATCTTGCAAATTCTACTAACTTTGACAGATAAATGGAGGATCTCAAAATATAATGTTATACATTTCCTATCTGCACATGTTTATTTATTGCTGTTTTCTTCGTGTTCGAAGGTAGGTTTGAAGTGAAACCCGCGTTCTAAAGAGAATTATTGCAGAAACAAACCTCAGCACTTGCAATATTAATACTAGTTATGATTTATTTATGATTGAATCATAAGTAACTATAGAAATCATAATTAATTACATAATTAATTCGTAGAGTAAATTCCTCAAAATAGACCGAAATTTCAACTCGGGTATTTTCCCATCCTCATAAATCTTTCTTTAGTGCTCAACAAAGCAACTAAATAGTCATTTCTAGCGCCAAAGAGAGAGAGAGAGAGAGAGAGAGAGAGAGAACAATAGTCTGCACAATGTTTCGTTTCGAAATTCTCCATTGGCAGTTTAAACTCGACACAATCTACAGAGTTATACGATGTAGAACTAAAATTTGGATTCGAGAAAGGATTATCATATTATACAAGCTCTTATTGTAAACGCTGCCACTTGATAATTTAATATTTTCGGCATCAAGACTTCCGCAATCATATCTGTATATCCTTCCTCTTAATATTCATTTAAGTGTCTATTTTGCGATTATATCGAATTTCTTCGGTCGATGCCCCGGGAACCGGTGAATAAAGAATTCAATCAAGATCTAATCTAGCCTGCAGCGCGCCGTGTCAGTGAACTAATGCACTCGCTAATTCGATAAAAGCTGTGACAATCAACGAGGAACATGTGGCAGGTGGAAATCAAGTCCACACTGTGGTGACCTATCTAACCGGGCATCGTTGCCGATATCGATCGCGCTGATGAATAATGCTGTTAATATGCAGTAGCGTAAACCTCAAGAAGTTTATACGTGGACTACGTTATATCGAAGAAACCGAGTTAACGCTCGAAATAAAAAAATATATATATATTTCTTTCGCGCTAAAAATTAGGACAAAATTGGCCGATAACTCGCTTTCCAAATCGGCAAAGTCGCGTAAAGATATCAAAAACCGACATTACTGAATAACGATTTTGTATGTCATTGTTGAGGAAAAACGCGTAATTTCATTCGCTATGAAAATAAAAAAGGAGAGAGATACGTAAATCAAACTCGTTTGCGAATTGATTTATGCCTGTTATCGCCGGCAGATACCTTCACCATGGGGAGATTATTGTTATTCATGTTGATCACGTATCGAATAACCGATAACACACGCGGTGCCGTCCGCTATCGATCCCACGCGTTTGACGAAAGGCTGATAAATAGTACGAAGAGCGATTGACTGCACGGTCATTAATTTACTGTGCGAATGCGATTAATGGAAATAATGAACATGAAAACGACGAAAACGCTCGGAGTCTATCATCGGAGCGATTCGCTTCCATGATATCGAATGGCTATTTAAAACTGTCGATATTAAAATTGCCGTGTTATTTTTCAGCGACACGACGAGCTCTCGCGCGTAGCTGAGCGCAGCTTTTGTCTCGAATAGCCGGCTTTTACGATAAAATCTGTATCCGCTTGATACGTGTTACGTGTACTCGCATAATTTACGCGCGCATATGCATACGCGCATGCATTATTGCAGAGCGTCACCATTGCTTCTTCTGCGCGTCTCGGAAACAAGCTGCAAAACACACGTGACACTTAATCGTCCATTTTTCCAGATGTAAGCAGCGACAATGTTATCGTTGACAAAAACTACAATCGCGTCGGGAGCTCGAAGTTTCCAGCGAGGAACTTGCGAGAAAATCGCGATATAATTCAAAGGGGAAAAATGACGCGTCGCGGATAAACTTTTACTTATTTTAAAAGTTCCTGTAATGGATAACTTTTACTGGAAACTTTATCCGGTAACGCATGGTTTAAAGATTACGAGCCGCGGCAAATACTTGACAAAGTTTTTAGGGTGAAAGGGAAGTTCATAAATGTATCAATGTCACTTAGCGTTTTGCGCGCCACACCGTTCGCGCGTTTCCTCTTCTTCTCCTCTTTTTTCACGCGACGAAATATATTGAGCAAAGTCGCGAAAGATATAAGTTAGAGACCGGAAAAGTTCGGGAAAATTTCA